CTAATCTAAACTCGATTACTCGTTTTCCCCTCTGAACCTCCTCTGTATGCTTCCTGCAGATGTTAACCAATCCCTGCCCTCAGTTGCGTCGCTTAACTCCTCCTTATACATTGTGCAAGCTGGTTTCCAAGACTACTTCTTCTCACTTTACGAACAGAAATCCACTACGAGAAGACTATTGACCAAAGTGGATAGCGTTGTGTCGGCGATCGGTGATCTGCTGAAAGTAAGGAAGCTCAGTAGTTCGTGAAAGCTACATTAAGGGACTTCGAGAGGGTATCACCTTTTGAATTGCACACCCGCATTTGCAGGACCTAAGTTCAATCCGTTTCAGAGCCTAGTCACATTCTGAACGAGAATATAATTACTAACATGAGATGGGTGATCGTTCAGGGTTTGGCACAATTTGGAGGGGCAAACGTGGTAGTGGTGAACTTACCGCCTCTGGGATGTTTCCCTGCTCTTCTCACAATATACCCCGCCAGTGTCGATAAGTATGACAAATACGGTTGCTTGTCTAGCTTGAACAAAATCAGCACCGCGCACAACACAGCTCTCAATAGCACAGTGCTCACCATTCGAGAAAAGTACCGCAATGTCACATTTCACTACGGCGACCTTTTCAGCGCTTACACCGACATCCTCAAGTCACCTCAAACATACAGTAAGATTATACCCCTGTGACGGTACTGTGATGAAAAGGAGTTCGAAGAATCAGAAATCATGACCTGAAGTTGTGTTCACTGTGGCGGTGATTTGCAGATATAACGCAGCCGTTGAAGGCGTGCTGTGGCGCTGGGGGATCCTAAAACTTCAACACAAAGGTCACATGCTCGGAGATTGGAACCATTGGAAATGAAGTAGTGAACTTGACCGTCACACCGTGCACCAACTCGCGCTCCTACTTGAGCTGGGACGGGATCCATCTCTCCAACGCTGCCAACCGAGCTGTCGCAGCTGCATTCTTCTCTGGCAAACACTTCAGTCCCAGCTTGGGCTGTGTTGCCAACACCACTCAGTGGGACAATGCGTTTTGAACTGGGCCATGGGCTTTGGTCTATCCCTCAAAGCATCCATTTCTTCCGCCTTATGAAGAATTTGCATTTTCCAGAACGTTAAGATTTTCATTAATAAACTTGAAAAAATGAGGGGTCCGAGGGAGTCTCTGGAAAGCGTCATCCTCATTCTCCATGTCCAAGTATTCGCACCGTCATAAGTGATAACCATCCATCTCTAGGTTTTGACTCACTCCACTGCTTCAGAACTATGGCTAAATCGCAAGCTTTGCACCGAGGACAAATTACTCTGCAAGATTAGCAAAATTTTATTTTCAATAAATGCAAAAATGTAAAATCATTTGCACCAACTATTCAGAGTCATTGGTGTTCCAAGCAGTGTATGGAACCTCTTGCAGAGCGCCGGTACTATGAACTAGTTGATGATCACCCTGGTTCGACATGGGTCGGAGAAAACCCCCGACTAAAAAATTGGTTTACATTTCAAGCAGACTTTCATTCGAATTCGCAGAACATAGCAGTGCTGGCCATCTCATCGACTACAATGCTTGTGATATCCACATAAAACTTCACTATTGCGAATGCTGCTGATCATTGCGCAGTAATTGCATGCAGTTGCGACTTAACATATTTCCCAGGCTTGATGCAAAACCCTAATAATCCTACTCCCGTTACTTCGGCACGCTACATTCTTTGCCGAACCTGCTTGTCGAACTCGAATGAAACCCAGTGCACCAATGCCCACATGGGTGCAGATTCTCCATCCATGCGTGAATCAAGCATTCCCCTGTACACAAACCGCTACACACCACCATCTGAATCTAGAAGAATAAAATCCTAGTCTCATCATAAAAGTTTAGCTTCAACTAAACTCAGCATTCTCACAGCTTCACATGAACGGTTTCTTCTGTACCACAAAACCTATCAAATCCTTGGATGACATAGTAATAGTTCACCTGGAGATCATAACCATGCAGCATAGGATTGTATTATGGCATTTGCAGCGGTAATTGGCGCTCGCTTCGCACCATCAGGGATCAGCAGAAGCAGGATCCAGTTGTTGGTCTCCCATCTGCGGCACTTGTGTTTTTGTACCCTAAAGACCCGGCTTGGTCGCCTTCTTGAGGCAGTTGACATCCCGCTACAAGAGATACATTAAATCCCTTCAGTAGCAGTTTGGTGCACTCTGCATTGCCGGTGATTCACAGAAACATAGAGTTCAAGAAGCGTTGCAGGATCGTCAGTCGGTGGATCTAATTTTGCTGTTGAAGCATCGACTTCATTCTGCAGGAAGAGGAACAACAACTGAATCAAACCAAAAAGTCTAAAGCTTGAACTAAAAGTAAACGTGAAGACAATGCCAGCAGAGCATCTTGCAAGTGTCGCTGGGATGCCAGCTGGATTGCCATGTCAGCAAAAGTGACCATCGCTTCTCGCGGCATGTATGACTTATTCACACACACAACCAATTGGTGTGAATGAATGTCGTCCATTGATGATTTTGAAATCTGCTGTGGATGTCGGACAGCTTCAGAAAAATCTTGGTTGATTTTATCACTCTTCATGTGGAGCAAAGCTATTGTGGCACTATTTTATACTTGTATGTAAGTAAATACTATTCTAAACCATTGATACTTGTATGCAATTGAAATGAGGTTTGATTTTTTGTCTAAAAAGGGGTTAAATATGTTTTTCTTTTTTGGGTAAATCTTCCTTTTTGAATTTAAAATTTTATTTTCTTTTGGAATATTTGTCAAAAAATCACACTATAATCCACTTTTGGCCAATAAATATTTTGGACTACATGCCTAGACACATTTGTACTTTTTGCTGCATTGTTTGATATTTAAATTACGTTATTGTTATTGTTTGTATCAAATCTTGGCAATGCTAATCTGTGGTGCACTGTAATAAGCAAATTATAAACATTCTGATGATGTTATTGTGTTGACTAGATTATTTGATTGAATCTCTATCATAGTGTTTTTGAATGGCTGGAACACCTCATTTATTTACATTACAGCATATCCTGATATACTGTTTGTGTCTATAAAAATGCCTTCAAACACAACCCACAAGTCAATACAACAAGTCAATACAACTCGTTTAAAATAAAATAATATATATATATATATGTATATATATAAACTGAAGATATAAAAACCATTGTTCCTATGCAAGCATGTAATATTTATCATTTTCAAAGTCATGATAAGAATCTCAAATTTATGATTTAAGTTTTAAAAAACATTACTCATATCATGGGTATTCCACAATACATGTGTAGTGTTTTAATCCAAACACATAGCTCAAACATTCTAAAGGACATACAGCATTTGTTACTGTAGTATTAACAATTGTCTTAATTTTAACACTTTTAAAGTGCTAGCATTTTTACAAATATATTTGCTTAAAATGAATTATATACATTCCTTTGCAGGTACCAAGTCAATTCTTCTTTGTGTACACTATGCAGTTGACTTTTGAGATATTTATTTCACATACAGATGGTAAAAAATATTTGTTCAAATAATTGGGCTGATGTCAAAAGAACCAATTGCAATCCAAGTCTACAAGCACAGTGGTCAACTCACAGCACTGCCTTCAACTTTTACCATTTTGGAATGTAAAAAAACTACAAAAAAAAAAGAAAGAAAAGAAAAAAAAGAAAAAAGAAAAAGAGATTAGAATTCAACAAAAGTATGCACCCACGTTAGTACACACAACCCATATAATTTGGAAAACCTAATTGAATGGGCTGTCACATCCTTGTGTGCACTTAATACAAAAAGGGCTTAAAACAGATATATTTGTGGGCATTGCATAAAAAGTGAGTCAATAAGTTTACAGACTCTGTAGAATGTTTTTCATTCCCTTTTATTCATATCTTTTATAAACCCTAAAATCATGGAGCCTGGAAAAGAGCAAGAGGGAGGGAAGACCATGCTGTCCACTCCCAATACAAGCACGTTTCGAAATCAGTGAACCCAGAGCTCGATGACGACGCTCAAAGGAGCTGGGGAGGGGGAGGAGGAGGAGCCATGGAGAGAAGCAAGCAAGCGAGCGAGCGAGGAGGAGGAGGAGGAAGGCACAGGAATAGTGGCCTGGGAGACCAGCGGAGGAGGAGGTGTCCGAATCAATCCCACCACAACAACATAAACAACAACCATTACACCACCCAAATAAAGGCAAACCATAAAGCAATTGCCCCCTGAAAACACCCGAAATTCCCTTTCCACTGCTTGATCCCATCTGCTGCATCACTGTCCCAATGGGGGTCAGAAGCCTCACAACCTGCTCGGGCAATCCCTTTTTCTGAGAGTGTCTGCCGCGTTCCATCACGCTCCTACATGTGGTAAATGCTCTGGATAAGAAGAATCTCAGCAATTCAACGACTCCAGCGGAAAATCCGGCCGAGGAGAGAGGAGAGAGCGTTTGGAGTTGTTGTTTACGTACTTGAGGAGGTATTCGGTTTTGTGGTGGAGGTTTGCGTGGTGAGTAAGGCGCGCCGAGAATCTATTTAACGCTTTCAGAGGGGAGGGGGAGGGGGTTAACATCACGGTGATGCATCAGATTCCTCCGAAAATGCTGATACCATTCGTGAAGGACTTTTACCGTGCTGGTATCGGTAGGGGTGGAGTGCAAATGAAGAGGCCAATGAAGTCGTGGCCGAAGGCGATAGATAGATACTTTGGTGCAGATACCCGGCTGCCCCAACTAGGAGGGCTGCAGTGCGGTGGAAGTTTCGAAGGGGCAAGGAAAGACAGACCAGGCGCAGAATCGAGTCCCTCCCCGCTTCGCAAGATATGGAGAGAGTGGGAGCATGAGATGAGTCGAGGGAAGGGGGTTGAAACTGAGGGTGGAAACGAGGACGTCGCGCAGCCGAGGCCACAGCTTTTGCGAGAGGCTGGGTTCGATTGGGGGTGTGGTGGCTTGCGCGGTGACCGCGGATGCGAGCGGACTCGCAATCAAGCAAGGGGGCGATAATCACGACGGCAGCCGCATGGAAAATTCCTGTGGCAGCGTAAGTGGCATTTGCTTGTCAGATTCGAAGCCGCTGCTTCCGTGGCTTGCCCTTTCTGATTCTCTCTGCGGCAGACGGCGCCTTCGCAATCGGGTGCCGCCACCTTGTTCACGACCCATTGCCAATCTGAGCCCGATCGGAGCCTGCTTTCTCGCGGGTGGGGTGGGGGGCCCGTTGTTGCCTTTTGGTTTTCGTGTTCCCTTCTCTCGCGCAGGTAATCGCGTGAATAAGAAGAGAATAGGTCTTTAGAGGGGCAGGGTTGCCTCGGGAGAAGTTTTTTCTGACGCCACAGTTGGGAATTTGGAAACCTTTTGGAATACAAAAGCGCTTTAGTTTTTCATTATTCTTCTTCCTCTTCTTCTTCTTCTTATTTTTTTTCTTTTTACTGTGAGAGGTTAGTGGATATTGTCGTGTCCCTGGAAAAAACCGAATTCGTAGGAGTGTGTTTTGAGAGGTTATTGCGTGACGGAGGGGGCCACAGAGGAGGGTCATCCACAGGTTTGTAGGGCACTGGGACATTTGTTGTGGCGTGTGTTTGTGGTAGGCTCTGTTGGTGATGAAACCATGCTATAGTAAGGGCTCGGTGTCTGGTTTTGGTACTTATCATCTTCCGAGTGCAGGGGGAGTGTTCTTGATTTTGGTACTGTTTTTTTGGGCTCTTGCCTAAGTACCAACTGTACTGAAGAGCATCAGCTTGGGGTCGGTCTAACAGGAGGAGACTTGGGGACTCAAAGGAGGGAGCAAGAGAGGGACGGTTTGGTGCGAGGTCAGGAAATCAATCACGTACAGGACAGGTGAAGCGTGGTGAAAGGGTTTGGAGAGTGTGGTGACGGGACTGTGAAACAAGGGCGTTTGGGACTCCGGGGGCGTCTACTTTTTCCTGCGCTGCTGAACGAAATTTTGGTGAAGGGCTTGCCAACTAGGGGAGGATGATGTCCTCACCGTCTAATACGACTAAGTGGATGTCGTATCTGGCCGAGGGTTTGCTGGCCGAGGATGAGGTTCAGCCCTCTAATCCGTTTTTTTGGTGCCCCAGTCAGCATCCTGTCGAGCAAGTCGATTGCAGGTATGCATGGAATTCACCCTGGCAAACCCACTGCCCAAGAGAGTTTAACAACGACAAGACTCCTTCCTCCAGCTATTTGAATTTAAAAGCCCGTTGCAGTCCAGCCATTTCTCCTCTGGGCGACCTTGGTCACATACACTATTCTTTGTGTTTGTCGCAAGAATGTGAAGGTTCCTTTGTGTTAGAATTGATCGTTGTTTCATGCATCCGCCTTAGGCTTGTGGTGCGAGTGAAAGCCTGAGTGTTCTCCCTTCCCTTCTGCGTTCTTTCGTTTTTTGTGCCATGGTAGCTTTCACACTTGTTATGCAATATCACTCTGGCCCATTTTCAACTAATTTGGAAGAAGTTGGTCTAGAGTTGTATCTCACGGCTCAGGCAAGGGTCTCCTGTGTTGGACTTCTAGTGTTGCTAGCGAACATTCACGAACTATCTGTACCAAATAGAACCTACGCGGTTGGTAGCCCTGGACAGCGCCTCATTACTTGCATTCAGTTTCCCTAACGCATACAATATTTCCGCTCGTTCTTTAGACAAGAATTATCATTATTCACGCATGTGGGGAGAAAACCCTGCAAACACGTCTTGCTCTGGTTGGGGTGTTCAGAATGCAGACAATTTTCGTCGTTATTATCGACAGCTTTCCAGTATCTTAGCTTTTGGATAATAGTATGAAATGTCTTTAGATACGGCATGTGCACCGTCTTCCCTACCACTCCGTGCTAGCACATGGCTTTTTCAACTTGCTCCCACCTTTCATCTGTTGTGGAAAAATGTGCTTATCGCATGTAGTTCCATATGTGTTTTTTTTTTATGGATTTTGCTGCATTGTGTGAGCCAGGTAACTGTCATTATCTGAGCTGTGGTAGTTTGTGGTGTCTGCATGTTGTCGACATCGTGTTCTGCGAGGTCTGATTGATTAACAAAAGTTTCTCTGGCGTTAGGCGAATGAGAAGTCATTTCTTTCTTCTAAGAAGGGTTTGTAACCCAGTATTGATCTGCGTAGTCGGTTGTTGAGAATAGGAAGCACGTGTGGCTTTCTGTAATCGCGTTGATGTGCTATGTGCAGTATTGACAACGAGTGTTCGAAGGGAGATTCAGATGTTCTTGAGAAAAGTTGCTCCCGAAAGAGGTATGCCAGTCTTGACTTCGCAAACAATTCATCGATTATTCTTTTATGCACATGCATACAAGACAATGAGCGAAGTATTCTTTGTACGAGTAACGGAATGAGTAACATTAAATTTTACCTTACACGCGCCTTTGATGACTGGTGTCATGGTGCAGGTGATTGATAATAACTGATTTGTTGGTTTCAAATATTCTATATATCAACGGTTCTGTCTCTTGCCTTGTTTGCCGTAGACACGTGACTAACATATTTTTGCAGGTCCCGAGAGGATGCTTGCAGTGGCGCTGGCAACAAAGCATGCCGGGAAAAGATGCGCCGTGACCGCCTTAATGATAGGTGAGCGCATTCAGATTATGATTTCGGACATGCTGGCTCTTGACGTGATCAGAGGATTTAGTGGTAATACGATTTTGGTTGTCAGTCGTGATGGTCGGTGGGCAGATATTTCGTCTTTTCTTTGACCATCGTCACCTTTTGATTACTGGGTTTGTAAATAAGTGTTGAGATGGGGTAAACCAGTTCATATTTTCTTACAGAAGTATGTTTGTTCAGGTTCTTGGAACTGAGTGCGGCATTGGAACCAGGCCGGCCACCCAAGACCGACAAGGCCACCATATTAAGCGATGCTGTTCGTATCCTAACCCAGCTTCGTGCTGAGGCTCAAGGGCTTACAGAATCCAACAATCAGCTGCGAGAAACAATAAAGGATTTGAAGGTGCAGAATCCATTCGATTTAATATTTTAAATGCCTATATACGTAGTGGTGAATTGACAGGTTGTTTTAATGGTTTGTGGCTATCATTTGCATCATTCATATATTTTTTTTAAGAAGCCAGGGGCTCAAATTACATCTTAACTCTGGGTTTAGGCCGAATACTCGTAGTTTCAAGTTTATAATTTTGAAGAACCTCGTAATTCATGATGATTCTTTCGGTTCTGATCAGAATGAAAAGAATGAATTGCGTGAGGAGAAGACACGATTGAAGGCCGATAAGGAAAGATTAGAGCAGCAAGTGAAGTCGATTAGTATTCCTACGGGATACATGCCTCATCCTGCCGCAATGCATGCAGCAGCAGCTGCTTTCGCCGCACAGACACAAGCTGCATCAACGAAGGCTGCGCAAATGGCTGCGTATCCTGGCATGGCCATGTGGCAATGGATGCCGCCTGCTGCTGTAGATACTTCTCAGGATCATGTCCTGAGGCCTCCAGTGGCGTAGAGCAAATCATTTCAAGCTTTTCCAGGGTCGTTTTTTTCCAATTAGTGGTTCGATCTTCTTACTCCTTTGTTTTATTTTCTCTTTATTGAGGGGTTGGGCTCATTTTTCTGGTTTTGGGAACCCGTTGTTCAAATTTTGACCTCCTCGTCAAACGAGGAAAGGAGCAATGTTCACTTTGGACTCTGTGAGCAACACCATTTGGCATGGCATTCGGTAAGCCGTGTATCCAAGTTGCTTTCTCACCAGATGTCCCTGTATTTCACAATTGATCTACTTCAATTGAAACAACTTGAGCCTTTCCTTACGGATCTCTTTCAGAAGTGTACAGAAGTTGGTTCTCCGGCACTCTACCTTGGGATCGGAGCGAGAGAGAGACCCGCACTAGTTAGCAGGCCCCTGAATGCGCCTTGTCCTTTGACAAAGTGCTCACTTAGTAAAGACGTGAATTTTAATTTTAATTTTAAGTTTTTTCGTGTCTTTCAATTTTCTTTTTCCTTTTTTTGGTTACCTTGATGAGTCTCCTTCCCTTCCTTAGGGTTCGAGTGGAAATGTGCTTCTGATTACCAGAGCCTGAACAGGACTTTGCCCACACCCCTTTGTGGAGAACGCTGGGCACTTTTTCGTTAAGACAAGAACATTGCAAATTCTTCTAGGAAAATTCTGGGTCTCCCTTTCAGTGCATGCCTTAGCAATTTTTTTCTGCCCTGGTTTGGGTTAGCGGATTATTGTCACGAGCTTTGTGTTGTGCACCATTTTCACCCATTTTCTTTGTGGATTTATTCCTGTTGAGCAATGCACTCCAATCTTGGTAATTAGACTAATGATTGTGCAGCCAATATCCTTCCAACTCCATCAACAACCCTCCAAATTACGGATTGCTTTCTATCCAAATATCCAGTGCTTCATTCCTTTTTATCTATCCTTATCCATAGCTTCCATCCAAAACCACTGACCTTTCAACTGATGGAGTAAGCGCCTTACCTGTGGGACCAAGCTTTGTCGCGGACAGTTCTTCCAGCGACCTTTCTGGTCTCACAAGAAGCTTGTGCTCGCAATCTGAACAATCTTACCTCGCTCTGAAGTGCTACGATTTGTCAGCCAGGGCAGCCCGTTGCAGAATTCGCATACTCTGAGCTTCCAGCGTCCAGGAGGCTGCTAGTATTTAATCGTAAAATTTGCAACTGTCCATTATCAGACAAATCATTTACGTCGTGGTGACGCAATTACGTGAGAGATTTCTCAAATCATCAATGGAACAATCCCTAACACCACGTGCTTCAATTCTGGGATTTCGTTGGCACGTGGACAGAAAGCTTGAAATCGCTCAGCGAATAAAATCTTCGTGAAGACGCTATTCAGTAGAAGAAGCAGACAATGAACGAGTCGCGACCCTGTGGGTGCAAACATGATAAGGTGCCGCCTCTGATCCTTAACAGGCGATGTGCTCTTGAATCCCGCGAGATTCTCCGGCAAACCGAAACTTCGTATGGAAAAACAAACTCCATCACTTCTACCCCCTTCCATGAGTTCTGTCCCTCCACACTCATATGGATCCTTCCACACCATGGGGCTAATTATTGATCCTCGACGTCTCATCCTGAAGCATGCAGAATGTTTTTGAATCATCTCAATTAAATTACTTGATTATAAAGGCCTCTCTTCCCCGTTTCTCTCACAACTCTCAGTGACTTCCAAATGGACACCAGAAAGAGATCCTATTGTAAGAAGGAATCTACAGGTTCCTGTCTCTCACTCCATACACCTACCACGTCGACTATTCTGGGCGTCAACGCTGCCTCTGTACTACGGCACCCCTTTCTGTACCGTTCCCTATTCTTAGTAGTTCCCGATGCCTGAAATCGTGGTCCGCACTTCGTAAAATCCGTCGTTTCTACTTTCACACAACCGACTCGCACCAACTTGAATAGTGTACCACCAACAGTAGGGTTTTGGTTTCCAAGTTGTGCTCTATCGTCTCTGATGATCATTTAAATAAGGAAATAAAGAAAAATGAAGAAATGAAAAATACGCACAACAATCTCTCTATTCCTCTCTCTCCCTCTCTCTCCCTCTCTCTCCCTCTCTCACACACATTGTTAACTTTTTTTTATTAGAGAGAGCTACATTACTTTGAAAGAATTTCTAACCAACTTCTTTTCCTCTGAAAGTCAGCTGTTGTATATTTGTTTATGCATGATACGGGAAAATACCATCTGCAATTGAAGTTTCATAATTCGGGTCATCGGAATGCACATACTCTCACAACAAACGATGTTTTTCGGTGTTCGAAATTTCCAAGTTACACTTGACTCTTTCTATCATTGACTCTAATACATTTGTTATCTTAATCCACATACAGCTTCTGAGGAACCATTTTTTCATATTCTCGTATACAAATATTTTATTAAATTTGGTGCCTTATCGGGGTCTTGGAACATTGTGGCCTGCAGCATCTTCCGCAGGAACTCTGCCTGCAATACATTAAAAACCTGGTAACAAGCATCGCTCACATGCGTTAACCAGGGCTGCAGTGAGATTCACTCTTGTCTGCTCCCTTGTCTGGGTTCAACACCCGCCGCGACTCCCGCAAGCATCCCAAAGAATCCAACTGTTTAGAGAATACGTGCTTGCATGTTGGTGCAGGACGATTACTGGTCACTTGATGAAGATGCTCATGTGGGCCATTGCTTGACTTTCCGATGAGGATCACTTCCGAGCATCTGCCCGTTCCAGTGGTCTCTAAGCACATTTCAACACCCTCCCGATTCTTTCTCATGCTTTCTCTAGATCAGACAATCATTGAAAGCTTGTATGAAACCCATTCCCTCTACATCACCAGACCAGTGCAGTTTCTTGCAGGGTCTCACGTCTAGTGCTTATAATCAAGCGTCCCCGAGTCATGGCACACAACGACACTCCGCCAAACAAAACACCAACAACGAGAATCGTCTCATGTGGCATGAGAATCGCACACAGTTCCTCCCTCCCTCCCTCCTCCTCATTCTCCGATTCCATTCCATCTTAACACTATCTCGTAGAACACTGCATCTTTTTCCATTCCTTCAATTCAACAGTACAACTGTTACTCATGCAGCTACACAAACGTAACGTGATCGGCTTGCAGGTATGTCACATGGGGTGAATTAAGAAGTGAAAGTTATCGCATTTCCTGAGCTTCACAGAGGATTCTCCACAATAACGCAAACTTGATGCTTGAAATGGAGGGTCTATATATATAAAGAGACTTGGTGAAGTGCGGAGACTCAGTACTCTCAAATGAACTTTCCGTTTTTGTAGGGGCTGGGATTCGATCACGTGGTGCTTGGGGATTCGATTACGTGGTGCTTGGGGATTCGATTACGTGGTGCTTGGGGATTCGGATCGTGAGACGGGCTGGGCCCCAACAGATCACAGTGCCGGGGGATGGATCCCACCCGGGAATCCAACGGGTCGCGCCAGCTCCACATTCCTAAACAACAACACGTGGCTCTCCATTTCTTATATATATATATATATATATATATATATATATACTAATTTTAGGATTTGAGTTTTTTTTTCTTTTTTCTTTTTTTTTCTTTTTTCTTTTTTCTAGTGCATGATTTCGTTTCTCGTTTTTTAATACATTCTTGGAATTATGTCTATTTATTTATTTTGTTTTGTCATGTAATTATTGTCTCTTTCAAGTTTTTTTAATATCATAGACATCTTAAGATAGAAGTAAGTAGTAGCTTTTAGCAAAAATTACTTAGAAAAATTAAATGGTGATACTTGGAGAAGATTGATTAAGAACCTTGGTTGAAATTAGACCAGAGACACAAAACCATGCACCTATGGTACTTCTAAAGTTCACCATGCACCATGCACCATGCACCAACTCACCAATTCTAAAGTTCTTTTGTTGATTGGAAAGTAGAATTTGAGAAAAGACTAAAAAAGGCTTTTTAAAGCATTTACTATGGATGATTTGAATTCTTTAGAGCTTTGTAAGACCTTTGAAAAGTTAGGATTGTTTTGAAATGATTCTAGTTTTTATGATATAAAAGAAGATTATATTTTAGAAAATTTGTAAGCTTTTTAGTAGAACAATGGGTGAAAATTTATAGATTTATGAATTTAATTTTGCAAAGTGTGTGTTGTAAGTTTAAGCTAGATTTGATGTTTCAATTAAATGTTATTGAAATTTAAGTGACGTGTGGTCTTAGAAATTAGATTTTAGAGGATTCATGAAGTTTTCTAAAATTTGCAATAATTTATTAATTGGATTAATGTAAAATTTGGTGCACTAGTAGCAAACTTGATTTCCAACAATCATGAAAAAATTAGAGAGCAATTAAAAAGTGAAAACAAGAGATTTTGGCTCTAAGAAATCAGCATTAAGGTTAGAGAAGGAGGTTGGCCAATATCCAAGCGAATTATGAGGTTTTTTTCCAAATTGATAAGTTTTTTTTTTTTTTTTTTTTAATTAATTTAATGTAATTTTTATACATGATAAAAATGTTTTAAAAACTATTATCAAAAAATATATTGACAAAACTATAGAAATAAAAATAAAAAATTTATTTGTATAAGTAATGTAGTTATACAATTAATATTCTATTTTCTTAAAATTCGAAAATTCTAAATAATTAAATATAAAAAATTATGTAATACTTAGTTAAAATATTATCCAAATAATTAGTATTGACTAAGAAGATACCAGATCTCAAGTGCTTAGTTACAAATCTAAAGATGTAATTAGTTTTTTTATTTAAAAATAATAATTTAAGTTTAATGAATTTAATAAAATTTATATATATATATATATATATATATTGTAAATTAATTAAAAAACAAACGATATCATTGTGATATTTATTATGTAGAATTGATAATGATAAATATATTATTAGAAATTTTATATGATAAAAGATTAAAAATTAAAAAAATTGGATAGAAAATTAATTGAAGAAAATGTGTAATTTCACAAACCTACCAAGAAAGAATTAAGAGATTTTTTTTCGTAAAGAAATCTTCAACTTTGGACTTTTATGCTATGAATTTATAGCTTGTTAATATGAGTTTTTTTTTTTTTTTTTTTTTTTTTTTTTTTTTTATAAATAGAATAATAAGTAATTTAATTATTAAAGTTTAATTATACTTCTTACCAACAAAAATGTATAATCAATAATGACATGCTAAATTTCAATGTCACTTATATAATTTAGATTGTAGTATCCAATTATCTATAAATTTAAAGAACTTCTATTATATTATGTCATGGACATATATATTGACACTAGTATCTACTTAGATAAGAAGGCTTAGGTAGAAGTAGTTAAAGTTGATAATATCTTGTTAAAAAGCTTTGTAGAAGCTTCATAGATACAAATTTGACTTCTTAAGTATTTTTAGATAATTGATAGGTTGAAAACTTGGCTAATAAGTTGGTTACATGTTGCATGTATTGACCACTAGCTTTATAAATTGGCCATGTAGCACAC